CTCGCCACTTTTAGTGTTACCTCTATAGCAACATTTCTGAAGCGTGAACTAGTCCTGCAAAGATAGTTTTACCGTTGATATAATTTTTGTAGACTCTATCAGGACGGTATAGGAAGCAAAATTTAGAACTTTTGTGACAAATAAACGTTGGTTTTATAAGGTTGTACCAACAACATTATCAAAATTTCACGGCAGACTTGTTTGTCTTACGGCTGCTCTGTTCCACACAAAAGGCTCTATTTAAGTTGTGAATTTTAACAAGGCAAGTGGCGGGTTCCTGATGATTTTCACAGGTCCCTGAGTTTGAAGACAGTCTCATTTTGATGGAAGCTGGGCTTTGGGGTGTAAATTTTTGGGTACAAATAATAAGTAGGTACCGTTTGCAAAAGCATAGTTATATCATTTTTTACCCAACTGTGCCAGAAGGATGGCTTGACCTTTCTTTCTTGCCAGTTTTCTCAGTTTTCCGCAAATTAATTAACCTAAACTTTTCTCATGTCCTTTAACTACCTATTACTAAAATGTATCAAAATATTTAAAGTAGTTAAACTAAAAAATAGAATTCAATTGACATTCATGTTATTAATGCTATAACTAATATCATAATTGCTTAACACATAAATAAGGCAAAAGTTGTAAATCTAACTACATACAAATCTATATCAAACTACGTGACCTGCCTTTATCTCAACAAATTATTTCTGTGACAAAATTACTAGCAATTTAATAATTATCTGCTGCAATCAAGCAATTACTTGAAGCTCATTGCAATGATCTTTGAGATGTTATTACCATTTTAGTTGGGCTGAAAATTCTAACGCGTTTACGCTGACCATACTTAGTTGGCGGGCGCTAATCTCAAAGGCACCCGGCGGTGACTTCAAACGGCATTGTTGGGGTTTAAATAATATCAGAGGACGTATTTGTCAACTGGTCTCTAACGATCCTTGGGTGGTTTTGGTATGTGCCTACTTAAGGCTGTAGAGGATGTGGACTTAAGCTGTAGATAAAACACAAGGAGCTGTTTTGGAGTATTATTAATTAAACAGATAGGCAGCTTGTTTTGTTAGCTTATGTATGGTATCGAAATGTAATTGTTTTACTGGAAGCATGCATGAGCTAAGTAGGTAGTGGGTTATGACTGTCATTAGTCATAGTTTAAGGGCGGCATTGGTATAATTATAGCTACCAGCACTTCGAGGAAAACTTTCCAAGTAGGTACTGGAAAAAAAGCTCCGCAATAAACTCAGTTATCAGTTTGTTGCTTTAAAATACCTTCGAAATGGAATATACAATTTCAAAAGGATGTCGCTGATCTGATCATGAATGTACTTATTCCGTTGATAACGAAATGGTTATGGTGATTGCATGATTGCACCTACAAGGTTGCATGGTATTTATAGGTAATTTATGTATAGTGACGTACTGATTTATAAGTGAATTCAACGTGAAATACACGGAAAGTGATTTTGACTGGTGACGTTCATCAGATAACAGCAATTGACGTCAAAGAAAATCTTAGTAGCTGTTTTCTTCGAAGACTTACAAATACCTATGAATATTAATCATCCCCTAATGGCACGTCAGACTTTGCCATAATTCTGGCGACAATAAAAATCATGGCAAGCAGCTGTGACGGAAGGTAAGTCAACATCAATGTAACGCGGATCCAGCGTGACATTCGTCGCGAAATCGAAAAAGCCGTTGCGGATTTTTCTATAGATCTCAACGTTAAATCAAAGGACATGTGTTTGTAATACTGACACCCGTACAGCGAATCGAATCAGCGAAGAAAGCCCATACAAATCCCTAAGAAATAACCGAAAAACCAGAATTTTTCTGCGATTCGACACAGACCGCGATTTCACGGTGCCCTATTACTGCATCCTGCAATCTTAGGTGCCCTTTCACTCAAAAATGGAACATATTTCCAAAACCGTAGCTATTAAAATTGTTTGGCCAGAAAATGCCAGTTTTATCGTACCTTTGAAGGCAGTAAGTCGGGTGAAGGTGTCATAGACTTTTGTCGCTATATCGCCGATCGGAACGAATCGCGTTTTGAAACGAGCCGATTTATCATTTTCAAATGCAACCCGCTTTATACCTACTAAATGGACATCCCGACAGCCTGTAAAATGTCACGTTCCTTGGACCTATTCTCTATAGTCTCTATTATTTTGCTTGTAAAGTTTATGGTGTATACGTAGCTTATGTAAAAGTAAACTACATATTCCACCCACGCATGTGTGTGGTAGAGTCGACTAAATCTTAAAATTTATACTTCGTTTCGTTACTTTTGAACTGTCTTACTAGATTGGTGGAATTATGGATGTAGAATTAGGACTAGACTGTACATAATTAATTGACAAAATAATAGTTTGACATTGGTCTCGGTTACCTACTGAGATACTTGGAGGAATCCGGGAAAGACACTTGTCCAGTGAAACACAATATCTAAATCTAAATATATAAAAGGAGAAACTGACTGACTGACTGACAGATCAACGCACAGCCTAAACGGCTAAACGTAGGCACTTGAAATTTGGAAGGGACGTAGTTTAGGTACCGTAGAGGTGCACTAAGAAAGGAATTCCCGAAATTCCCACGGGAACTGGAATTAGCGGGAATGAAATATAATGAAAATGTTAAATATTTACAGCAGCGGAGACTGAAAATATGGTACATTTATTTGAGCAAATATTATTGCTTTTTTATCATATCCTTCTGAGACAGAAGACATAAAAAGTGTCTGCATAGTAACATTAATTACTCCAGTAACATAGTATACCTGTATTACCATTTGTAATAAATCTATACTTATAATAAATCTGTAGAGAGGTCAATTCTGTATATTAAATACATTTTCAAAATAACTATCAGGGGGTGATTAATGATCGATACTGATGCCGCTTTGCGATGGAGGGAAGTCGAACCTTAATTTCGAACTCCTCCTTTGTTCTTCTGATTAATTTCGTTGCGGGTCCAATGACAGTTTAACTTTCCCCCGGGACAAACTTGACCTTCATTGGTTGGGTTTTTGTGGCGGTCAAGCTGTAGATCCTGGCTACACAGGAGTTGCAGTGGTGGGAACGAGAGGTGGGAATAGTCCCGATGATGCCAAAAATGCAATCAGTAAAATTTTTGTCTGTCTGTCTGTCTATAATTATGTTCCTTATAGAAACAAAAACTACTCGACGGATTTTAACGAAACTTGGTACAACTATTCTTCATACTCCTGGTCAGGTTATAGTGTACTTAGGAATTCCCACGGGAACGGGAATTAGCGGGAAAATCCTTTTTTATGAAAATCTAAACCTAAATTTGCATGCAGGTACCTTAGTAAACTTAAAGCTTAGTAACAGGATATTGCAAAATTCCCACGGGAATGGGAGTTAGCGGGAAAAAACATTTGTATGAAAAAATCTAAACCGCGTAAGATAGATGAAGGGGGTAAAACTGGATCCACGCATACGAAGTCGCGGGCGGCCGCTAGTTTATAATAAATAATAATAGGCTCCCAATAATCTAAAACGTATATCTTAAGGCAGATTGTGTGCAATAATGACTACATTAGGCACAGACATTACTGGCATCATAAGTACATAGTTGTGAAAGGGGCGATATTTCAACAAAAATGTGCTGTTGTCTGTACACTTGCTCCTGGCGAGATTCAACCCCGCAACCGTTACTAAGTACTCCAGCACGCAAACCACCCGTGTCAGAATAAGATACCTCTTTATACACGCGTGCTGTAATCATTATTTTGAAATATTTTCTCTATGTATAGTCTCTATTATTTTGCTTGTAAATAAGTTTATGGCGTATACGTAACTTGTATGTATGTAAAACAAAACTACATATCCACACACGAGACTGGTAGAATCAGAGATTTAAATTTCTGCTGAACTGTCATACTAGATTGATGGAATTATGGATGAGGAATTAGGATTGTTGCTGGCTTAATAGTCCGCCACGCAAGCCATCCGTGTCAGACCAAGATTGATCCCTTTACACACGCGTGTAATCACTAGTTTTAAATGTAATTCCTATACTAAACGTCACTTTTATTCCATCTCTTCTAACTAGGTAATTTCATCTTAAGAGTCAACGATTAAACAAAAGTCAAGTTTATTATTTATCGGGCCCAGTAATTATTACTATCAACTAATTGCATCAAACTGTATTCCAAGTCCAGAATTTACTCGTAATATATTCTCTCAACGAGTACAGTGAGTATGTAAAACATTCTTACATTATCAGGAATCTACAAGCGATCAAGTTTAATGACTTCGCGTATCTTATAGTAATTAGATAATTGTATTCTTTTGTTTTTATCAGGTACTTGTATGGGTAAATGTTAGTTTCCCACAGGTATGTTCATTACTAATTCAACCAGAACTGAACTAGGGTAACCAAGGGTAAGGGCGATGACTCAGTGGTGTATGAAGAAAAGAAATGTTTATTTATTCAAAGCATTTATTAATATTAATAAGAATGGAGATCAAACGAAAGTCTTGAAATTCCTTAACATTATCAGTCTAAACTTAAAAACTAATTACAACTTAACCACATAATTTTGATTATTTTTATGCGAATTTTTCCACTAAGCAATCCTAAACTAAAAGAACGAAACCGAAAAATTGAGAGCTTTAAACTAATACTTATAACTAGGAAAGGCACCCTTATCACTATTATACTAAAACTTACAAGAAAAGATTGGCACGTTCGGCCCACTTCTGCTTAGATTTTAAAACATTCAATTACGAACCTTATATTCTAGATCTTAAGACTATTAAAACTTTTCTTACAAACTATTAAAGCTTTTCACTGATATGTTAATTCTAATACTCGAATAAATGTATCTGGATAAAAATACAATTGACTTTCTCAAGACACTTACGATACAATTTCATCAAAAGTGCGTAGAGAGAGCCAAGCGCGTACAATCATAAATCTTTACTTAACCTAATTAAAGCTTTCAATATGTGTACTCTGATTATCACAGACAAGATAAAACTCTCTTACAAACTAATGGAAGACGTTGGATATAACATAAACGATTATCTGTTAGAGGAAGTTAAGGAGATAGCTGAGGGTGTGCGACGATAACAGTGCAGGCATTAAAGCTGTCTACCAAAACGTGATGTTACAAACGATACACTCAACTAAGCGTAGCGTGAGGACCTGGCGCCAAAGCGTGATATTCTATCGACTAACATCACAAATTAAGGCTAACATCACAAAACATCACGACAAACGTCAGGCCCGCACGCCACTTCACTAATGCTACTGGAAGACGTTGGATTACAGCTCGCATCGGAGCACGCACTAAATCTACTTTTGGAAGACGAGATTTTGTTTTCACTGGTCTCAGAATGTAGAGGAAGAAGAAACTAATACCAAACGTTACATACGGAGCAGTTCGCGGTCGCGGAGTAGCAGATCTCGCGAACTTCGTTGGCCATGTTGTCGTTGACCTCGTCTTCTGAGATCAACTCGAAGCGGCTGGAGTTCAGGATGTTCTGGTTTTCGGCGTTGTCGTTGTCTTCGACTGGCACCGGTTTCACCGGGTCCAGAGGATAGAAGAAATCGGAGAACGGGATGACGACCGGTTCTTCAGGGTAAGCAGTCTTTTGCGATGGTAGGTCAGCGCGGGGCGATGAGTTGGAGATGAGCTCTCCCAACTTCGACCAGCACTTGTTGAGGTTCACACGCGTGGAGGATGCCACCTTCCTCGGCAGGCGCGGCTTTGAGCTCTGAAAAGAATGAAACAAAAATAAATATCTATGTCCAAGTCACTGAGTAATTTAGGGATTATCTTGGGATGAAGTTAAATTTTTCAAATTTGATAATGATGAAATAATTTCAAAGTTAAATCACTGTATCTAAAATGAATAAAACCAAGTAAAAGATCCTTACCTGTCGATTAAGAAGCTTCGCCCACGGCGACCGAGGCGACACGGCCTCCTTCTGCGGTGAATCTTCATTCTTAGCCAAACACATAATTACTACGAAACTTATCTAGCGTACGACTACGTATTTACAAGCGTGGACGACACGCACGCACGACAGCTCGGGCGGGAATGGTAGAGCAGGAAGGGTGGGCGCGTTTATATAGGGGTCCTGAGTCGCGTGCTCGCGGGGCGCGCGCTTAGCACGCGAACGTAGCGCGCGCTACGGACCCGTTTTTATGTAGCGCGTAGTTCTACGAAGGCTTTGACGCGCCGCGTATTGATGACTAACAACGGATTAAACGAGGTTTTGTTTTTGTTGACTGACGTCTATTATTGTTTGTGATGAGTTTGTTGCGTTTAGGTGTATTATCGATTTGTGATGGTTACACATTGATGAGAGGCTTTATTAGATTACTGGTAAGATTCGTATTTACGTCATAAGTTCGGTTTTTATTGTCATATTTTGGAATTATTTTTGTCTAAAAGGGAATTCCTTTTAACTAGGATGTATTACAATTATTTTCAACCACTTTAACTACTCGTACAAGGTCAAAAAAATAGCAACACCTCAATTTACTAAACGACATAATTCAATATTCAGTTTTCTAGCACGAAATAAACCAAGCTTCTGAGTGAGACGAAGTTAATAAAACTAATTTGCGGCGCGTGGCAATTTATTAAACACAATCTCCGACGTATCCTGCCATTGAAGCATAAGCTAGTACCACATCAATCATAACAAATAACCTAGCTATTAAACTAGATTGAAATAGGCTGAGAAAAGATAGCTATAAAACCGCTCCTAGTACGGAAATACAAATAGTATCTATGAATTTTGCACCTGGCTCCATAGATAGATAGGTTCCGCTGTTGGCTCTAATAGCGCTGTACTAGCGCTTCCTGCGATATAATCGTGTACAGCGTTTGATAAACAATTTCCTATTGAGAGACGGGATGGTAGGATTATTGCACGAAGTCGAACCTCTTTTATGATATGCTCGGAAACTGTTGCTGTTTTTGTTTTGCTTTAGGTAAGCTATCTGGTAGACTATTAATTGAGTAAAAAGTTATTTTACACTTGAAGGAAATATCGCGTATTTTCTTAGACTGAGTTGCATCATCTAACTTTGACCGTAACTTTAACGATAACCGGCGTTATTTGTATGGAATTTGACAGATTTTTTACGTTTGCCAAAGTTAAAGTAAAATGGTGCAACCCAGCCTTAATGTAGTGCATAATAAAACATTACTTTTAATTATAACTTTTTTAATTTGGCAAATGTTTTAATAGAAAAAAAGATACCTACTACACAGATAAGTACGAGTACATAGTAGAGTTTCACATGGAGGTTTTTCATACTAGAATCAAATTTATTTAAATGGCGTGCATTCTTGCTATAATTAATTGTCTCCTCTTAAAGTAATTAAATAACCAACACGTACTTTTTAACATTTAAATGCTAGATCTTTTTAAAACTCCGTATAAGTAATTAAATCGAATTTTGTAAAAAGACTATAATGATTGTGTCATTCAATAATTTTACACTTCGCATAACTTAACCGGCTTTAATAAAACCGTCATTTCGCCAGAATTACGACGTGCACGGAATAATGAAGATGGCGACGACATTGTAAATTTAATAACATGAGAATCCTTGGCGGGGTATTAAAGTTTTCAGTCAAGATAAGTTTATTGTAAAGACAATAAGATTGTATCTTCGAACTTAAAAAAAAACTATAATGATTATAACGAGATTACGTAGTTAAAATTTATCGTCGATTGGCAGATTGTCATTTTATGGTCAAAAATATTTTTGAAAAGTTTTAAAGGTCCCTTTAAAACGAAATTTAAAATCACCTTAACAATCAGTTTTGAACTAGTAACGCCATCTATTGAGGCGTGTTAAAGATTTTTAGGATTACAAAGGTATCTGAACTAATTTAAAATTCAAATAAGAGAAAAAACACATTAAGCATGTATCAATTTAGAAGCTTGGCCAACACACGGATATTGATATAGCTAAGAACTAGGAACATGAATTCCTATTGGAAAAATAAATGTTTTTCCAATTAGCTTTCCATCATAAAACGATATAGCGAAGTGAAGAAAACTACATCATAAATAAATACTATATTTTCTTAAACAAACTTACATTATCTAAGTAAATAATGCTAAAAATAATGATGAACACAGAAAATACATTTTCTAATCAACCTAATTGGAATTCGATGCAAATGTTGACGATCGCATGCTTGTTTTTCAAAATTATAAGCTATTAAATTGCAATTTAAATAATAATATGCTGCGTATTTGAATAAAACTAAACTCGGTAATTGTAGATGATGCGTATTAAATATTAGCTACATCTCAATGCGGTATAAACCTGTAAGACTAGAATCCAAGCTTGGCCCAATCAGAATGGGTGCGTGACAGTTTATATAAGTTTAAATGATATAAATTCATTTCAATAACGTTCATATTGTATAATAAACGTATGTTATAATAACACTTGATATAATTTTTTAACATATAATGTTTACTTCATATAATAAATCATTGTAATAATGTCATTTCAGATACCAATCAAAACGCATAAAGACATTTGATATAAACCTTAGTTAATCTAAGACTCATTTGATGTAATTTTGTTTAATATAAATAATATTTCATATAACCATTACATAAAATAAATATTATTTGTTATAATAACGACTATTTGGTATACTCTTTAATTGATATATGTAATTTCTGATAGATATAACTTTTAGTATGATCTTCTTTAGCTTGACTTATAAATGACTTTAGTGACAAAAACGAATCGCCGTAAACCGACTCCACGTAGTCTTGTCTGCCCTACCCCTAGAGTGTAATTTAGAAGCGCGTAGGCACGGAGGAGCGAGGCGGCCCGCGGGCTGAGGAGCAAGCCGAAGACGCGGTGTCGAGCGAAAGCCATCTGCGACGATTAGCACGCGAGGGACCGCCAGAGCCCCGCAGTGCCGGAGCCGTGACAGAAGTCTCTAGTTTTTAGTCAAATTTGCATGCTGCATGCCTGCTTGCTTGCTTGCCTGCTTGCTAGCTTGCTTGCTAGCTTGCTTGCCTGCTTGCTTGCTGCATGCAATGCTTATTATAACAATTGAACTTTATATAAAATTATTATTGTTATATGATTTAAGTTTTATAGGAAAATAATTTTATCTCATTTGATTGTTCGACATTTTATTTTTATATGATTTGAATGTTATTTGTTTTAAATAGTATACATTGTAAGTTTTATAGAAAATATTCATTATATCAAACCATTTTATATCAGTTGTTAGTTATTTGTCTTAAAATTATTCGTTTTAAAATTATATTATTCGTTTATTATAGTAAATAATTATTATATTAAATGATTTTATATAATTTGATGTTATATCCTCTAAGTATTATATGATATGTACTTATATCATACATTACACATCCAATCAGAATAGGTCATAGTGATGTAGAGTCAATAAGTTTTGAATATTTTGAGCCAACAAAAAAACTATTTTTAAGTAATATGTTGCCAACACTAGATCATAAAGGCTCGCATTGTAAAGAATTATCAGCATGTAGAGCCAAGCTTCTTAATCTATACGACCTCACTATGCAAACTTGCTTATTTGACTAAGGTGTAGAACTCTACAGTAGTCAAATAACACTAATTAATAATGATCTAGATATACATACCTATGTAATGCCTAGAAATGAAGTTATTTCTCAACATAATACTTTTGTAAAAAGAAAAAATCCTCGACCACAACCCGACCACGTGCATGGTCTCGTCGAAAAAAGATTCCTTTTTTGTCCATCCCCAAGTATAGGGTTACAAATGGAACGTTACTATCAGAGTATTCTGGGTATAGTGTACACTTGAGGGAAAAAACTTGAGTTATATACGTTGTTTTGAAGTGTGCTTTAAGAGTTATGGGCAGCTTGAAGTTGAATTCTTTTAACAGGTATTTGGCTGAAAAGTGTCATGTCAAAAGACCCACCCACATTGTTTTGGTATGAAAAAATAAAACAGGAGAATTTCCGCCCAGATTAATCAGAAAAATAAAATTGGTGAGATCCGGGCTAACGTTTTTTTTTTAGATATTATAAAATTAGGCAACTGTAGTACAGAAAAGATTAGTTCTATCTAAAATTGTTTTTTTTGTGTAATTAGCGACAAAGGTAATAATTATTATACAATTAGACAACGAAAAAAACAGGACAAAAACTATCGATGTATTTACATTTAGATTAATGTATTTCTAAAATTATTATCCATTTAATTATAAGTGTATGCTTATTGTATGGAGCGTGTTAGACACACGCCTGCCCGCTCCCTGCACGGGATTGTCATTTATGACCCATTGTCATTTGAGGGTTGAAAAAGGTTCCCATTGTGTTATTATCACGCAGATTAAACCCTTAAGTGGTATTCAAATTTGGCTATTTTTAAGCACGATAAAATGAATCAATATTGTGCTTTAGTAATTGAAAATGGGACGAAGAATTTATTGATTAAGGTCCCTAAGTTTATACGTGAATAATAAAACTCTACATACCTAGGTTAAAGTTAACAATGGTTGGCAAAAAATGAAAATAATACTATTTACCTAGTTTCTTACAATTCGTTGAATTAGATTAGCCGATCAAAATTAAATAAAAACAGGAGGTACAGTAAAAACTTAGATATATCCAAGCAGTTTTTCTAATCATTGCTTTTTATGCAATCTATGATATCTTATATTGTCATTTGCGCTCCGACCAAAAAGGTAATTAAAAGATATAACTATATAAGTATTTTCTGTGAATTGTGATAGGATGATCATTTCCTGTCACGCAATCAATAAATAGATATTTATTGAGGGCCATACTGGGGTCAATATTTAACATTTAAGTATGTAACAATAATGAGAATTACCAGAGCCATAAGTAAGCAAATCACTGTGGGTTCTTATGTAATTGAAATAAGTGCTACTTTGGAACAAAAATGTGCAGCTAACTAAATCATGCGCACACTCTCGCCACGCGTTCGGCGCACGCGCATCGAGTACAGCAATGCGGGCATGGGGGCTCTGATTTAGATGTGATTGGAAATACTCGGTGCCATCAATTGTAGTTGTTATTGGCACAATA